TTTTTTTTTTTTTTTTTTTTTTTTTTGTAATTTAGCGTTTAATGTATATTAAGTTAGATAATTAAGAAATTAAATTTGGAGTGTTATAATGTTTTGCGTGACAATTTCCATAATTAGGGGTTATTATGGTCATATGATGTATGCATCTGATTGCCGCAATCAACATACATCATGCTTATCTTGCCTTTTTCTTTTAACTCGTGGGCCCATCTACTTTCTTTTTTGTTTTTCTAAATGGTTTAATTTTAATTATATGAAAGTGATAAATAAAAATTGAGTGATACCAACCAGTTCTATACTATGTTTGCTGAGTTCCAAAGCTCGTTATTGCAAATTGTGGGTGTCGTAGATCTTCTCACAAGGCCTACTGCAATTCAATTGAAAGAAATGAGTATGAGGTGACCCGAAAAATTCTTACTAGTTCTACCTAACACTTTTCATTTATAAATTAAAAATGCATTCCCGTTGATTTTCATTAAGATTACATTGTCGCTTTAACAATGAATGATACACCGTCCCTCTGTATACGGTCATATGAAAAGTTAACATTTTATTATTATTATTGGATAAAAAACTATCCATAATTATAAACATTAAATTATAACTTTTTTATAAGCTAATTTTTAAATTTAATATATTTTTCTCCATTTTAAAATTAAATGGTACGGAGTCATTTTATAAACATTTATTTTTTAAAATACAAAACTAAATTATTATTGCATATTAAAGTATAAAGACTAAATGACTAACTTGACCTTTATTTTTATTAAGAATTACTATGATGTACCATTGGGGCATTTATGTCCCAAAATTGTCAAAAGTTAAAGGACAAAACGAAGGGTTGTGGATGGTAAATATGAAAGTTTGAAGGGGGTGAAAGTGACTTTTCATTCAAAATGGGCAACGAACCAGTCAAAGTTTTGAGGGTAGGTAGTGTAAAAAGTTACCATTTTCATCTCTATTTAATGAAGAAATTTTATTAAAAGAAGATTAAAAAAAATGAAAATATTATATCGAAATGGTAATTAAAAAAAAGAAAGAAAATGATGGAAATTAAAAATTTGAGAGTAAGAGTACTAAAATGATTAATATTGAAAATTTGGTTTAAAAAATATAGTGCTTATAAAATTTTGATTTTTTAAGTCACGTGAGACTCACATGCGAATGTCATTTCCAAACCAATTAAACCAAAAACCAGAAACGTACTTCAACAAGTTTAAGGCGTGAGAAAGCAAGTGGACAAAGAGAGAGAGAGAGAGAGAGACTTACTTTTTCTCTCTCCCATTTCGCTCCCGAAATCAATTTCAACGGCAAAGAAGAAGCAATCAACTCCGTTAATGGAGGAGGAGAACACGGCCGCGACGGCATCGACGACGCAATGCTGCCGCCGTGCCGGACCTCCAAAACCTCTGAGATATTCTGGCAAACGCCGTCTCTTGATCTTCCTCACCTTCTCTGTTCTCTGGAACTTTGCAGCCGGAGCTTTCGATTACGCTGATGCTCTGTCCAAGAGCCTCCTCTACTTCGAGTCTCAGCGATCGGGAAGGCTACCGTACAACCAGCGCGTCAACTGGCGAGACCATTCCGGCCTCACCGACGGGCTTGAACAAGGAGTCAGTTTCTCTAAATTTGCAATAGCTGCTCTGTTTTCGTTTTTCTTATTAGCTTCGCTTTTGGAAACTGATCGAAGTTGTTTTTTCTTTTTTTTTTCTCGGTGTTATAGGTGGATTTAGTCGGAGGATACTACGATGCCGGTGATCACGTCAAGTTCGGCCTCCCAATGGCCTTCACTATAACGATGCTATCCTGGAGCGTCATCGAGTACCGACAAGAAATTGAAGCCGCCGGAGAATTAGGGCACGCTCTAGAGGCGATCAAGTGGGGAACCGATTACTTCATCAAAGCGCACACTAGCCCCAATGTGCTATGGGCAGAGGTGAGCCTCATTCTCAACTTATCATAATTTCGCTATCACCATCACCAATCGAATCACATTGCTCCATAAGCATTAATTTACAGGTCGGCGATGGAGATACGGACCATTACTGCTGGCAGAGGCCGGAGGACATGACGACGTCACGACAAGCTTACAAAATCGACGAGAGGAAGCCGGGGTCGGATCTCGCCGGAGAAACGGCGGCGTCGATGGCTGCAGCGTCGATCGTGTTCAGAAAAACAAACTCACATTACTCGCACTTGCTGCTCCATCACGCGCAACAGGTAACAGAAATTGAACAGAATTAGTTGCGTTATTAGTTGAGAGGCAGTTTAATTGAAAACAGAATTAATTTTGACTGACTGTGTCTGGGAATCTGAATACTGGTGTGAAGTTGTTTGAGTTTGGGGATAAATTCAGAGGTAAATATGACTCAAGTGTGGGAATAGTGAAGAGCTACTACGCGTCGGTGAGTGGGTATAAAGATGAACTTCTATGGGCTGCGCTGTGGCTCTATGAGGCCACCGACAATCCACAGTATCTTGAGTACGTCCTTAACAACGCTCACAGCTTCGGTGGTATTGGCTGGGCTATCTCCGAGTTCAGCTGGGACGTCAAGTATGCTGGCGTCCAACTCATGGCCTCCAAGGTAAAAAAATTCCTCAAACCCCACCCCAAATTCACTCATCATTATTGTTGGTTCCTTTCATTTAATTCTAATTGTGTTCACTTATAGCTCAATGAATTAAATGAATTAGATTATAGGCTGATGTTTGAACCCATACCCACCCACCCTAGATCGATCGATGTGGTGTGTTTTTATTGTATTTCGTGAGTTAATCTCATTTAAAAACGATTTATGTATATACATTATTTTTCATTTTTGTGGTAGATCGATGAACTTTTTAGTTAGTAAATCATAAAAAAAATCTAAAATTTTAATTTTGTGTTAAGTTTGTGTTGTTGACGCTGTCTATGTCCCTAAACTCATTGAGATCAGTCAGACTAGTTAGTTGGGGAGGTGGATTAAGTGTTTGATTAAGGAGTCTAATATGGAATGATAAATGGTACAAAGGAAAAGGAGGGAGAATCTCTCTCACAGTCACCGTTTGTTAAGCTTTTAGCTTTTTTTCACGCCAGAGATGGAGTGGCCCTTAATTAAAGGACCCATTAGGACGGCAAGGGTAAAGTTTTAGACTTCGAGTCACGTTGGATGGAGCACAAGGCCACGTGCATCCGATACAACAGCCATGAAATCCCCCTCTGCCTACTCAAATCTCGCCAAGTGTCCCTTTTAATTTCCCTTCCCTCCATCTCAGGATCACCCATTTTTGTCCATACCATTTAAATATTTTCGATTTAATCCTTTATATGTTCTTAGATCAAACAATTAATTACAATTATTTGCTTGCTTTTTTAGTTGCTAATGCAGGGGAGGCATAATAAGAACAATGAGCAAGCAAAAATCCTGGAGCAGTACCGATCAAAAGCAGAGTATTACCTCTGCACGATCCTCAACAAGAACAATGTCAGCAACGTCGAGAGAACTCCGGCCGGCCTTTTATTCATCCGCCAGTGGAACAACATGCAATACGTCTCTACGGCGTCGTTCCTTCTCACTGTCTACTCCGACTACCTCCGCCGATCCAACCACCGTCTCAACTGCCACACCGGACCCGTGGATCACGAAAAGCTTTTTGCCTCTGCAAAACAACAAACGGATTACATACTCGGCTCCAACCCAATGAACATGAGCTATTTGGTCGGATTTGGCCCCAATTTTCCTACTAGGGTTCACCACAGAGGAGCCTCCATTGTGTCGCATAGAGAAAACAAGGGGTTCATCGGCTGCACTCAGGGCTACGACAATTGGTACGGCCGTGGAGATCCGAACCCAAACGTCGTCATTGGGGCGGTGGTTGGCGGCCCCGATTGCGAGGACAAATTTTCCGATGATAGAGGGAATTACATGCAGACCGAGGCCTGCACCTACAATACAGCGCCGTTGGTCGGCGTTTTTGCTAAATTATCAAGTTTGGAGCACCGGATCCAGGTCGAACCCGAGACGACCCGCTCCTATATGCTTCATACAACAAACAAGTAAGAACAGAACCAAAATATTTATATAAATTATAAAAATGTGTGGGAAATGGGGTTTAAATTTCTCTGAAATTGAAAAAGGAGAAAAGAGGGTTTAGTTTTTTTGTGTAGCTTCCATTTAATTTTGTATAATTTATATATATATATATATAGTGAAAGGTAAAGTTCCACATCTCGTGGCTTTATTTTGCCTCTCCCATTGTTTCTCATTTATTTCAATATTATTAATCGAAAAAATATATATTAATCAATTCAGTTTTTCTTAAACTAGGGAGGTCCGAGAAGAATATTTTCAGTATGGGCCTAATGTTTCAGGCCCACAATATCACTGGGCTGTTTTAGCGGCCGTCCATTTACAAACATGGGCTTAACTACAGCACCATCCGCCGCATTTTTCCAAATGTTTTTCTTTTAATTTTGGAAAAATTTGAAGTTTGTACAAATTTTAATTTTATAAAATTATACATCAAACTTAAATAATTATTACAATTTTAACTATAAATTCGTAATTTTAACTCTTTACTGGTTAATTATTGTAATTGTCAAACTTGCATAACTTTAATTACTGAATTTTTCAATGATTTTTACACCATTTTTTTTATTTATTAAACTTAGTGGAAGAATTAGTAAAATTAAATTGATAGTAAAAATTATAATAAAATTATTTAATTTTAAGGTCTAATTTAATAAAATTATATCATATTCTTATAAATAGCTTTAGAGCCCCCCATCTTCCACCATTTTATATGGAAGGCTCTAATTAAGGGCTTAATCCTGAAAATCATCCAAAACTGATTAGTAGTGGAATCCGTTTCTGCCATCTCCGTAACGGTCACCTCCCCTGTTCCCTCTTAAACCCCCCTTTGTTTTCTCTCTCTAAAGCCCCCAATCTCCAAATCTCCAAATCTCCAAATCTCTCTCTCTCTCCTCCCGATCTCCCCGTCAAAAAATGGCCAATAATTTTGCGCTCTTTCTTCTCATTCTTCTGATTCTCGGCAGCAGCGCGGCGGAGTCCCGGCAGCCATCCACCAGGAACCAAAGCGGCGCGACGGATCTCTGGTGCGTGGCCAAGAACAACGCCGACGACGCTTCTCTGCAATCCGCCCTCGACTGGGCCTGCGGCGCCGGCGGTGCCGACTGTTCACCAATCCAGCCCGGTGGCGCATGCTACGACGCATCCAACGTCCAGAACATGGCCTCCTTCGCCTTCAACGACTACTTCCGTAAGCACGGCATGACCGACGACAGTTGCTTCTTCCAAAACGCCGCTGCTATCACCTCCTTAAACCCTAGTCTGTTTCTTCACTCCGATCTCTCAGTTTCTTAACCGAATCTGTTTTTTAGTTCAAAACCTTTCCAGATCTGTAACTGAAATGCTATTTGAATTTGTGTTCTGATTTTGATCTCTCTTGTTTTCAGGCTACGGAAGTTGCAGAATCCCAGCTAGGTAAATTTCATTGTTGATCTTTAAAACCTAGTAATCAAGAAAAATAATGTGGATCATGGTTGAAATCATCATCCACCAATGATTCTGCAATTATTTTTCTTCTTTTTTTAGTTTTAATTGGATTTGATTTCTCATTTTATGGCGCAGTTCGTTGAGAAATGGGAACTTTCCAAGCCAGACACCATCGGTAGGGCTGGGGCCGAGTGAAGACATAAGCGGGTCGGGTCGGAAATCGGGCCGGTCATGGGTTTGGCCAATGGTAATCGGGTATTTGTTTTTTAGAATTGTGTTTCAATCTCAAATAGGAAGCCCTAGTTTTTTTATTTGAATTTTGATTTTTTATTAAGCAAATATTGGTAATTAGGTGTCTCAAATTCTTATTTATATGATTTTTTTAATGACTTGGGGGCAAAAGAAAAAGATTTTCTGTATAAAGGGTTTATCAAAAGCTAAAACATAATTTTATAAATAATTTCATAATAAATAAAAATTAAGGTTAGTCGTCTTATATTTATCTAATAAATCCATAAGGTTATTGTTATTATTATTATAGTAAAATAATAATGAAATAAAATAATCCGATATTTGAAATGATTTGCCAAAGAAATTGAGAATAAAGATCACGTGACAGAATCAAAGGTCACATGGGAGAAAGAGATTTATATTTTAAAAGTAAATATAAATGTTCATCAAATATGTACATTTTGTTTGAATGTTAACTTTTTATATTTTAATCTAAACAAAAAAAAAAAAGAAGGAAGGAGATATGTTAAAGAGTAAACTTCTAGTGGATTAGCTATCGTCCGTCCTGCCCTGACAAATGTGTAGTAGCTATGCCCTACTTATCGAGGGATTAGCTATGTCTGGCCTAGTCCATGACACATACTTATCGCGAGATTAGTTATTTTTGGCTCCCTGACACATCAACACGTGTGGATTAGCCATGCCTTGCTTGTTGGGGGATTATGCCTGGCTTAGTCCCCACGACCCATATGTGCAACCATAACGACCCATATGTGCAACCATCAACAATCAACATGAATAGGTTTCAAGTTTATATACATATAAACATATATATATATGTTATATACATATACATACATACTACATATATATACATATGCTTAGTTAAAAAATTAGGGGAAATTTACTACAAAGTCTACGCGACGAAAACCGTGAAATCTCATATTTTCTCAAGGGCAACAATGAAATTTATGGAAAACAAAATAAAATTGCAACAATTTGTGTTGCAATTTTTCATTTAAATAACGAAATTGGGAGAGAGAAAAAAAAAACAAAATGCGATGCTTCGAACTAAGTATTGTAGGGCTTTACCCCGAAGGGAGCCCTTCCAGAAATTCTCGAAGGCCTGGGCCAAACCCAGGCCTAAGAGGGGGTTTGGAAATAGTTTTCAACCAGCAATTGACGCGCCTCGGTTAGAACCTCACTAGCTGCGTCATTGCCCCAAGCGCAAAGATGAGTTTCCCCACATCTTCCACTTGCCTTTTATAGCCTCTCGCGTCGGTCTACCATCCAAACTTTCCGATGTGGGACAAAAACCCCAAATTCCTAGTCTAAACCTGAACGAACTCGAAAGATCGTAAAAGTCCAACAACCAAAAGTCGCCGCCTCCGTCTTCCCTTCCGCCTCCGTCTCGTCAGCTTCTTCAAATCTCAGTCTCATTCCTTCATCGTATTCCATGGAGTTCGCCGCCGTCACATTCCACTCCGGCAAGGAAAACCTTCCGCCGCTTCTCTATATAACAAATTCCTTTCAAAATACAGTTCGATTCGGTTCGGTTCGGTTCGGTTCATGATGGATTCATCACCTCGGTTCAATCGGCTTGCTTACTCTCCAACTCCATAAAGAAGAGGAAGACTGCTGATGAAATAAAATTATAACCACTAATTTTTTTTTAAATTCAAACTAATTAAGATATTTTAATATAAAAATTAAAATGGTTCTTATTTTCTTATTATTTTTTGTTTTAAAGTTTAAAGGAATCTTTTATATCTTGTTTGAATGGATTAAAATTGGGTATAAAAAAATTTAATTTATCTTTGACAAATTTAATATATTACTTAATAATCCATTTGACTTTATCCATAGTGCTATCTTTGTTTGCTCAAAGTCTTCTCTAGTCCACTCCCATTTTAATTAATTATTTTTTACCTAATAATAATAAATATTAATCAATTTAATAATTATGAAACCGACAACGGAACCACGTTTAAAATAATTAATATAAATTTTATTTTTAATAAAAAGATATTTATTTTAATTAAAAAAATTATTCTCTAAGCCATATTGGAACGAGGGGTAGTGAGATCTACATCCACTTATCATCTCACAATTCAATTAAATAAAAAATAAATTGATAGTGACCAAGCCATTACTCACGCCGTCATTAATGTAATAAAATAAATTTAAACCTAATGTGGACGGCATTTTGCATTTTCTAACCACCACTTATCTTTATGTCGGGGTTTAATATTTTATAATATAATTTATTATTATTATTTTTTAACTTAATAATCAATATATTGATGGGATGAATCGATCATATTCAAATTTATAACGAAAAATATTGTTCTAAACTTTTATTTGCAATATTATCGTTATTAGGCAAGCTATACCACTAGGTTACTTCTCTTATAGATACCGTTCATGTATGTACTGTACTTACACCGTCTGAGTGACGCTCCTTCGGGGCCCAGCGTCCTCGCTAACACTCGTTCCTTTCTCCAATCGATGTGGGACCGCCACCAAATCCACCTCCTTTGGGACTATCGTCGTTACTCGCACATTGCCTCGTGTCTACTCCCTTTGGGGAACAACGAGAAGGCTGATACATCGTCCAGTGTCTGGCTCTGATACCATTTGTAACGACCCAAATCCACTGCTAACAAATATTATCCTCTTTAGGCTTTCTCTTTCGGGCTTCCCCTCAAAGCTTTGAAACGCGTTTGCTAGGAGAAGATTTCCACACCCTTATAAAGGATGTTTTGTTCTCCTCTCCAACCAATATGGGACATCACACGAATCGTGCAAATCGCCCCTTATCGCACCCTAAACTATCTTCTCCTTAAACAAAGATTACCGAGCCTCAATTTAAATCGTCGTCTTACCTGATAAAACTCCCGTCCAATATACACGAAGATTCATCGTTCATAACTTCATGCATGACCATGTCCTTGAAACTATTCACTCTTATGTCATGGTTCGACCCAAACTGTAATAAGAATATTTCTGACGGCACGGCCGGCAAAAACTGAACTAAAAAAAAGCTTATGGTTGTACGTTAAGCATATTATATGATAGTTGGCGGCATTGGTGCATGTGTGTGATAAGTGGAGTCTGATAAAAAAGTGAAAAGAACCCCAAACACATTATTTATATATTTTTGTATGGATTGTGACCCTTCAATCCCTCCTAGGGAACGCCCTTTCGAAGGCCAATTCTACTCCCTTGGTGTCTTTTGGGTCATTAGTTCTACGTCATCGTGTTATTGTACGGACAAAATCGAACAAAATCTAGTATAACGTAATACATAGTCTCTCTCATTTATCGTAGCATGTCATAAATCAATATATTATTTATTTCATAAGTCTCATATAGTTATTAAGCCTTTCTTCAACGACAAACGATGAATTGAGTTAGTAATTTTAGAGACTTTCGATCTAGTACTCTCCAAAATTGTTGTTGTCTATTGACTGAACTGCATTTATATTTTATAGCTTAATTGAGTCACGGTGAAAAAAAAGGTTGTCACGTGGAAACTGTGACTAGAGAATTGAGCCTATGAGATCTCATGCTTATTGGAGAAGAGAACGAAACATTCTTTATAAAAATGTAAAAATCTATCATTTTAAACTTTGAGGCTAGTAGCGACACGTAACGGGCCAAAAAGGATAATATCTGTTAACGTTAGGCTTGATGGGTTACAAATGGTATTAGAGCCACACACCAAGCGGGAGGAAGCTGGAGGGTAGATTGTAAGATCGTACGTCGGTTGGAGAGGATAATGAAACATTTCTTATAATTTTGTGGAAACCTCACTCTAGTAGACTCATTCTAGTTTTTAAATTATGAGGTTGACAGTGACATATAACGAGCTAAAACGAGCAATATTAACGAGTAGTGAGCTTGAGTTGTTATACTAAAAAAACAGAACAGCTGAGGGGAGGAGATTCATGTTGTTTTTTTTTTTATTATTATTTCATTGGATAATATTTTTTGCTGTAAAAAACTTTGAGAGCGGCGGCCGTTGACAATTCATTTAAAACGGCGTCACTTTATCGTAATAAAAAAAAAAGGCAAAGGGTCGGGAATTTTGTGTATATAAGGGAAGAGAAGGGGTTCCAGTTTTTGGAGAGTTAAGGATATACATAATTATCTTATTTATTTTTTATTTTTGGAGATTTTAAGGTTCTTAATTTCGGTTTTGTCTGAAAGGAATTATGGTAATGGGAGCTAGAAAGTTGTTGTGGGGATGGTTTTGTATTATGTTCGTTATAATGTCTTTTGCAGCCGTATCGGAATCTCGAATTCCAGTGGACAGAAAACAGAATCTCGCCGAGCTCCGGCAGCGGCTGGTTCAGGTGCACGGTGACGCTCCGGCCAAAGTGGTCGCCGGGAAATATTATACGTCGTCGAAACGATATATCCCCGGCGGACCAGACCGGAGACACCACTGAGATCATGCGTGGCATAAATAAATTACGGTGCTCCCTCCGATCAACCGGCGGCGGCTTTCCTTTTACCATTTCCATGCAGAGATCGTTATAGTCGTTTTTAGTTAATTCGGTTGCTTTGTTTTTTGAGTTACTTTTGTTTGTACTTTTTAGGTTTTATGATGAATGATCCATCTCTCTCTTGATTATAAATTATATTCCCGGTTTAGGAAATGTTAAAAATGATTTAACGGTCGACTTCTCGAGCTACAAACTAAAGTGTAATAACACATGGAAGTGAGAATTCGATTCTTTGACCTTTCAGTCGATCGATGTTATAATGTCTTAATAAATTCACTCGAGTGGTTATCTAATGATAATTTTTTCATCATTTGTGTAGAAAACCTCATAGTTGACCGTTAATAGTTTAACAAGTTCAAATATATATTTATAAGGGAAAATAAATGCATTTTTGGTTCGTGAGGTTTAATTTAAGTTGCATTTTGGTTATTGAGGTTTCAAACTCAACAATTTTTACTTTTAAGAATTATGTTTCTTAGCGACATATGTGTGAGATCCCACGTTGGTTGGTGAGGAGAATGAAACATTTTTTATAAGGGTGTGTAAACTTATCTCTAGAAGACGCGTTTTAAAAACTTCTAGGGGAAGTTGAAAGGGAAAGCCCAGATAGGACAATATTTGCTAGTTGTGGGCTTGTGCTGTTACGAATTATATCAAAGCTAGACACGGGGTGATGTGCCAGCGAATAGGCTAAGCCCCAAAGGGGGTAGATACGAGGCAATGTGACAGTAATGACGTTGGTCCCAAAGGGGTGGATTGGGAGGTTCCACATCGATTGGAGAAGGGAACGAGTGCCAGCGAGGACGATGAATCCCGAAGGGGGTGGATTATGAGATCTTATATCGATTGGAGAGGAGAACGAAACATTTTTATAAGAGTGTGAAAATCTCTTCCTAACATACACATTTTGAAACGCGTGAGAGAAAGTAAAAAAAAAAGAAAGTTTGAAGATGACAACATCTACTAGCAGTATGAGATAAAACCACATATCATCATATTTAGTTTACCTTAATATTGTTGTTATCATCATATTTAAGGTAGTTAAGATAAAACATGGTTACGTTACATCATCAACGACAAACTTTGGTTCTTTTCATTTTTATAAGATTAATGCTTTGGTTTGGTTTATTTTTTTGGAGTTTTTAATGTTCATTTAATGGCTCTTGGAATAATTAATGAAAGAGGGCAAGTTGTGAAAATGTGGCTATTCGTTGGAAGGAATCTGAATTTTGGAGACGACATTATATTATATGATAAAATTACCACAAAAACATTGAAAGACACAAACATTATGCCCCCATGTGTCCATCCGATTCGTTTTGTCCTCTTAAAAAGACAGCTTCATAACATATACCTCACCCAATCCTTGTCGTGTCATATCACACTCTTTTCCTTCAATATCATTCTCCTTTTGGTTCCCTTTTAATTCTTCTCAACCATCAAACCTCCTGTTTGCCGTAGGGGCTCACGATTGAGAATACAAACGATATCTTGTGTCAAGACTATGACAAGTTAGGACACCGTGAGCCTATAAGTGAAGGAAAACGACACTTTTGAAGGAGACTGAAGGAGTTAAAACAGCTCATGGTTGAAATAGACAATATCATACGATTATGACAACTACGAAAATGATCGTTTTTGTATCAGAGTCTTGCCTCAAACGTTACCCTAGTCGAGAACTGTCAAAATGTCAAAGATAAGAGGTGACTAGACTAGACTGAATCAATTCATGCTTGGAACTCAAATAGGATAAACCTGTCAATTTCTCCGTTGTTATTCAAATGACACCGAATAACTTTTCGGGGAAGGGATGTAAACATAAGGTGAGATCTCACATCAGCTGGAGAGGGAAACAGTCCTCTTCCCTAGTAGACACGTTTTAAAACCGTAAGGTTGACGGTGATACGTAGCGGGCTAAAGTAGACAATATTTGATAGCGATAAGCTTGATCTGTTACAAATGATAGCCAAATTCGGGGCAGTGTGCCAGCAAGAACGTTGGGCTCCAAGGGAGTGGATTGTGAGGTCCCAAATCAGTTGGAGAGGGGGATGAACCTCTCCCTAGTAGACGCGTTTTAAAATCATGAGATTAGCAACGATAGATAATGAACCAAAAGGGAAAATCCTTCTTAAGCCTACGAAATCCATAGCTCTTTCCATATGCCATGTTCTTCCAAGTATAAAAAGAGATTAAGACGCAAAAAGAAACCCTAATGACAAAAATTGTGACTCACCCTTTACATTACTCCCCCACTACTTATCTCTCATCTAAAAAACTTATCATTAAAAAAGAAATAAAAATTTCACAAAACTCCTTCAAAATTTCTATAAATAGCACTAAAAAATCCCACCTTTTACCCAATATCAAATACCCACTTCGCATGCAGCTTTTCCGATCACCATTCCTTCCAATGGCAGCCACCCATCACCGTTTCAACCCAAAATTTGCTCCATTAATGGGCGTTCTTTTCATGGTGATGCTTGTCACTGCGGCGGCCGGCCGCCATGCAGTGCCGCTGAGGACGGAGGCGGCGGCCATTGAAGGTGGCAGCAGCAGCATGATAATGCGTAGGTTGGGTTATACCAAAAGCCAAATGGAGCATTTAAGAAGGCTTTCTTCTTCCACTGCAAGATACATACCTGGAGGGCCTGATTCTCAACATCATTCTCGATCACCTCGTTTACCGTAGGATTCTTATGTTCTGATGTTTTGTCTGTTTTCTTTGTGGTTTTGTTTGAAATTTGAGGCAATTAATGTTAAAGAAGATTGAACATATTCGTCTTATGACTGTCTTAGACGAATGTTTTTCTTTCTTGTTCTTGTATGATCCCATCTTGTTGTAATGACAAGTTTTTTCTGTTGTCTACTCTTTTCGATTTTGTTTAGAAAAATCGTCACAAATATGAGTCATGAACCGCTCGTTCCCGTCCCCATAACCACATGGACTTGCCCTAAATGGAATGGCGGAGAAGGGCAGACATGGGGACTTGGGTTAGGGTGCAACGTAACAAAGCGTAATTAGTCCATCTTTGGAATGACAATTAGCTTATGAGGGAGAGGAGCGAACCCGCTTTGTTATGTGTGAGTTTTTCTTTTATTTTCATTTCCAAATCGAAAAAAGAAATATCAAAACAAAAAAGAGGAACGTGAAGAAATAACGAGAAAAAGAAATAAGAGAACGAATATGCTCCAGGACGGCTTGAGTCAGTGCTCCACATTCGAGATAGGTTCCGCCCTGATGTACAACACACCTCACACAAAAGAAGAAAACCTCTTCAATAGAATCGAAAGTCGTTAATGACAATTCTATATTATCATCGTAGAGACGGTTTCAAAGTTAATATCTTTTTAGTATCACGATGCTAGTTCAAAAGTGATAACGTATATGTATGACGATGGTTTCAACGTGTATTAAAATTTCATGAAAAGTATACATGATAATTATTCTTTCGAGCTACCGTTAGAAGGGATTATTGTCGACCTACGTGCAACTAAAAATAGTATAAAGTATGGACGAGTCCTAAACTTACAAGTTTTTATGCCTCCGTTAATTATGTTCTTCTAAGCTATTTATATCGATGCGATTGAAAATTTGACATCTCCGTCATTTTCATCCATCAAAATAATTTGTTTATTAAAAAACTTCTATTGAATAAATTGTAACTTAAAAAAATTGCATATTCAAAAGTGTATATAACACATCGCAAATATATGATACACGAGAAAATAAAACATATAAATTAATAAATGAGACATCGGAATGAAATTAATCTTAACATTATTGTAAGTACAATTTAAAAAATTAAATGTTACCGTCTAATATTGTTAATGTCATAAACATAAACAACATCAAAATTTATCATGCAAAAAAAAATAATAATGTGGCTAGGTCATCGAGAATGCTGACTCGAGATTATAAGTGTTCAAATAACTTAATGATCCGACAAATCATGTTAACCTAACTAAATCCGTACCGTTTAGGTTGAGTTAAACTTATTTGAGTTGTCGCGGGCTAAAACTGGTTCGTGGTTTTTCCTAAATTTATATTGGGCTAAAGCTAATCGGCCCAAATTATGGTTAATCCTAAAATATATATATTCAACCATTATATTATTTTATTATTAATTGTTATACCAAAAAAATATATTGAAATTGAATTATAAATCTAAATTAAATTTATAAAAATAAACATACAATTTTTTATTAAAAATAAAAAATTGAATAAATAACTCGAATTGTCTTGTAACCGTCCAGATCCATCATTAGTAGATATTGTATGTTTTGGCCTATCAAGTGTTGTTGTTAGCCTCACGATTTTAAAATACATCTTCTGTGAAGAGGTTTCTACACTCTTGTAAGATTAGTTATCCTTATTATAAGAGTGTGAAAATCTCTTTCTAACCAATTCGTTTTAAAATTGTAAAACTTGACAACAATAAGTATTTGTTTGGTTGGTTATTTAATAAAATTTGTTTGAATTATTGGCCAATTAAATTGGTAAGCGATAAAAAAAAATGGAGGCAAAAATCAAATTTTCGTTTGCTTTTCCCAACCGCGGGAGAAAGATAACCGCGCGAATGGGCAAAACTTAAAATTTTTTAGAAATGAAACTGCCCCCCATATACCGAATTAAACAACCGTGACGCGCGTAAAACACAGTCTCCCAAATAATTTCTCCCCATTGGAACGTGTTCCACACCTCTCAAAACGCGCGTCAGTCACCCACCCTCCATAAGTATAGTGATACTTCACGGGCACGACTTTTCTGTTACCAGTCCCACGCGCGAGTTTCATTTTATTTCAGTCGACGAACCCCACAGGCGCCGTACATCTGTACAATTAAAAAGATCGAGAGATCACTTTAGAGAGAGAAAGTTCTTTTTTTGTAGAGAGAGAAAGTATTCTCGTAGAGAGACTGCAAGATCCGGTCGCAAAAAGAAGCACTCAACAACACCAACAGGAAAATTACCAGTTCCAAACCCTACTGTTTCTTCGTTTTCTGTAAGTTCTCAGCTTTACTTCTTCTTCTTTGCTCTCTTTCTGCATGTTTCATGCGGATTTTCTAGTTTATAGCTGTGGAATTAGGCTTTGATCGGAGGAATTTAATTTTATTGGATCTTTAGGAATTAGGGTTTTCTTGTGTTGCCTATTGGTCTAAATCTTTCTGTCTTTTGGGATAATTGGGGATTTTTCCTGTCTTCTTGCGACGGACGAGTGTTTTATCCTTTTAGGACAAGCTTCAGCTGTGGTGTTTTGTCCCTATTTTGGGAAATAGGGTATTTAGGGTTTTGGTCGAGTTTCATGTATGGCTTCGGGTCCTACAGTTGATGAGGTAGGTGTAGGTGATGGTGGTAGAGAGAGACAGAGGTACGTGGAGAGTAAGGTGTACACTAGGAAGGCCTTCAAAGGCCAAAAGAAGAACAATTACAATAACACAAATTCAATTGCCGATGTAACCACCACCACCACCACCACCTCTGCTGTTGAGAACAAAGACGACATCGATAATAGCCAAAATAAGGAGACCCCTACTGAGCCAACAACTACTATCGCCACCAAGGAAAACAACGATGCCAATGTCAATAGTAACATTAATCATGATGAAAGTAACAATTTGGCCGAGCCTCTTCCTTGTACTACGGTGACGGAGGACAAGAATCCAACTCAGCAGCAGGTCGTTTCAAGATTTGATGCGGCCCGTGATGATTCTTCATGCCTCAACCGTCAGCAGGTTGCAGCTGGGGATGCAGTGCAGAGCGTGCGGGACCAACCCTCAGGAAATGGTGTCATGGAAGTGGCTGTGGAAAATCAAAATAATAATAATTTGACCTCAAGGTCTAAGCAGGAGATGCAGGAACTTCGGCATAAGCTTGAGAGTGAGCTTGAGATGGTGAGAAATGTATTGAAAAGAATTGAGGCAAAACAGGGGGAATTAAGTAAGGCTAGTAATTTTTGCAGTTCGGCTAATGAAGGGATGGATAAGGTTGGTGGAGATGAGCAGATTCATCCTGAGGTTGTTGCCGTACGTGTGCCTTGTGAGCCTTCTAGGCCTCTGAATAAATCGAGTATATCAATGTTAGAGAACAGTCGGGGTGTGAGTGATTATGTCGAGAAAGAAAAAAGAACTCCTAAAGCAAACCAGTTTTATCGAAACTCTGAATTCATACTTGGAAAAGATAAGCTACCACCAGCTGAGAGTAATAAGAAGGCAAAAACAAACATCAAGAAGCCGGTTGTAGGAGAAATGGTTCACGGTTTTGGGCTGGGTTCCAAGTTTTTTAAGAGCTGCAGTGCACTTCTGGATAAATTGATCAAGCACAAGTATGGTTGGGTGTTTGATGCTCCTGTCGATGTGCAGGGCCTTGGTCTGCATGACTACTACATCATCATTAAGCATCCAATGGACCTAGGAACAGTAAAATCTAGGCTGAACAAAAATTGGTACAAGTCACCTAAAGAATTTGCTGAGGATGTGAGACTTACATTTTGCAATGCTATGACCTATAATCCCAAAGGACAAGATGTCTATGTCATGGCAGAGCAATTGTTGACAATATTTGAGGATAGGTGGGTTATTATAGAGACAGAGTATAATCGTGAGGTAAGGTTTGGACTAGACTACGGAGCTTCTCTTTCCACACCTACTTCCAGAAAGGCTCGTCTTCCACCACCACCACCCCTTGACATGAAACGAATATTGGAAAGGTCAGAATCCACCACATATCGTCTTGACTCCAAGAATAAACCTTTCAGCGCTACTCCTTCAGCTAGGACACCTGCTCCAAAGAAGCCCAAGGCAAAAGATCCTCATAAAAGGGACATGACTTATGAGGAGAAGCAAAAGCTCAGCAGCAACCTTCAGAATTTACCTTCTGAAAAACTGGATGCCATTTTACAAATAATTAAGAAGAGAAATTCAAATATTTTCCAAGATGATGAAGAAATTGAGGTAGATATTGATAGCGTGGATGCAGAGACACTCTGGGAGCTTGATAGGTTTGTGACAAACTACAAGAAAAGTTTGAGCAAGAACAAGAGAAAAGCTGCGCTCGCACTTCGAGCAAGAGCAGATAAGGAACACAATATTGCCCAAAAGGTAAATCCCTTAATAAAATTGTGATGTATATTGTGATAATGTGCTATAAAGTACTAAAATGGATCCTGTTGTTTTCTTTTATTGATCCAGGCCCCTGTTGTGGTGGAGGTCCCAAAGGAAACTAAAGCAGGTGGGTACATCATTTTGTCTGGTTTTTTATTCATATTTTCTTAGTTTGTATATTTATTAAAATCCAAAATTTTTAATTTTGTACACAGGTGAGAATATTGTTTCATCTTCAGTGCCCGTTCAAGGACTGGGCAATAGTAGGAGTAGGTCAAGTAGTTCAAGCAGTTCTAGCAGTGATTCTGGATCTTCATCTAGTGGTATGACTATTTTGGTTTTTTTATTTTATTATTTTTAATCTGAAGTCTTACAATTATTAACTTCTACATTCCTGGGGCTGGCATCCTAGTCATGTGTTTTTGTTGAAGCCGCATTCTTATTCTTATTCTTTTTGGATAAATTACAGATTCCGACAGTGAAAGTTCTTCAGCATCTGGATCTGATACTGGGTCTTAAAGGTCTTCAAATATTTTTCAGGTTGTGCTACCAAATTAGACTGAATCTCTGTTTTAAATAATTTTTTGGATCATGTGCTAGTTCCTCTGATGAGTTTTTGGTTTCTGGATCCCTTTTTCATCTGGCTACGTTTCTGGTATAAACGTATCTTGGTGTTGTTGAGTTCATTCACCGTTTAGGGTAGATAAATTTGGTCAATTGGATTGGATCAGAAGGATTCTTTGTTCAACCAGGAGAGGCTAGAATTCTTATAAGGGGCAAAATCTTATGTTCTAACATATGATATATATGTGTTTGTGTCTATATATATAAAACTTTTTAATTTTGAAAATTCAGGGTTAACACTGCATATAACTTTTGAAATCTAGATGTCTTCTTTCTTCGTTCAGCCCTTTACTTAGATGTTGGGGTGTGAATTGAGATTACAATCTAAAATGTTAAAAAAGAGTTCATTGTTGGCAACTGTCTGAGAAGATCGTGATATCATCATCAAACGTTTCTTGAAGCTTTAGGTATTAAATGCTTTGCACGTGGGTTTTTAGTTTTATATAATTCATTTACTTAATGAAAATGAAAATCAGAAGAATAGATACTGAAGTAGTATGATTTTAAAATATATTGTTGTGCCATGAATGAGCAAATTGCTCGGAACTTTTACAAAAGCAGACTAAATTGTCATATTTTAACATGATGATTAAGGATGGTTAGAGTTCATTAGAAAGGGGACAGAACAAATTTAATCGAAGTTGCAATACTTTCGATCACTAAGACCTTTTGAGTTCATGGATTTGCACATGATCATGAAAAAGTATTAAGACGCTTATTCAGTTTACCTTCCCACTTTTAAGGATCTCTATATTACCTTATCACACTCTAGTATAACAACTTAAATTTTGTGATTAACAATTTTTAGAAATGAAAATCTTACCAGGCCCTTTTGTTTTCTTGAACAGATGTCAAATTTTTTTGAAGTTGTGAGAGTACTTCTGTTGGAAGGATCCTTCAGCTTTTCTGATTAAAATCCAAATAGTCTTGCACGGGTTGGAAAGGAGGCTTAAAAGTCCATTCATGTTCAGCCAGTGGCAAACTGAGGTTTGATATTGTATTGGATAGAAGGTTTCACTGCATATCCCCTCCTTTGTAGCCATTTATTCTGGCTCAAAATTGTATAATATTGTAGTAATCTGATCGATTAGCCCCTCTTGCGTGGCGCCTGTACATTGCTGATCAATTTCTACCATATCTATTATTTTTTACCACAGATTCACCCTCCGGATAATCCCCTCCCCCCTCTATTATATTAGATTTTGTAAACTAAGTGTCAGTAACTGGCAACAGGTGTGGATTTCAATGATGTATACTGGAGGGTTTGGGTTTGGTAAGAAGCTCAAACGATTCCTTGAGCTTGTATCTCTGCCTTCTATGGGTTCCATATGGAATGTTAGGATTGTGAGTCACTTCCTCGTGTTTGCAAGCGCTGCTTGTTCTTTTTAGTTGTAAAGGATCAAGAGAAAAATATGATTTTGATTGGTTTCTGTAAGGTTAATCGAGTTTCCCTGTTGTCTAGAGTGTTTGCATTTGGCATGATTTTTACATTGTTTCCTTTATAGACTTCATTCTGTGGAAAAATGAAATGATGGCTCTCCTTCTAAGGTATGTTTTGCCTTGCCTAGTTCGTCACTTCAAGTTATGCCTTTTTTCAGTTAAAAAAGAGAGAGTATTCAACTTTTCAAGTGCGCTTAGTTTCTCATTCTCAATTTGACGTATATTTTTCTGATGCAGCGTCTTCCTCAAATCTCTTCTTTTATGGCCGACTCTCCGCTGTTCTTTCTGTGCCAATCTCCATTTGCAAAGCTTCTAGCTAAAGTCATCTTCTTCGTTGACTTCTTCCCTGCAGTACACGCCTTGCTCTGCTCTCAAGGCTTGGAGGCAGAGCAGCCCTCAAGTTGATTTTGGGGATGCATTGGACCAGAGCCTCTGGTTGAATCATCATCAAGGCCTGCCCATGTCGAGCTTAATGGTAAGTCCATTTATCACTTTATTGTGAAAGACCTGATCACCCCGTTCTGTCTTAAGTACCTCCATAGCATGCTGATAATAGGTCGTTTCTCACTTGATTTATTAGGTTTTGGAATCCGTTATCATTATAGGAGAGTATTGAAAGGTCCCAGCTACTAACTTGTCTGCAGTTCTAGTAACAATATACTGCTGCTCATACTTTATAGTTATGACATGTCAAACACGAACTTGTAGGATGAGACAACTAGAGGTGATCAAAATGAACATGGCATTCAGTCATTAGTCTTGGTCTTAAGTCCATAAATTTTGGCTAGAAACATGTGAAAAGAGGAGAATAAACACAATTTTGTTTAAGGGTGCATAGTTTTATATAGTTGGTCTCTGTACTAGTGCGTGAGATGTCGGTAAACCATCCCCGTCTCAAGTTTTTGGCAAGAAATGTATGGAAAGAAGCACAACCTAGAAACGCTTGATTCTTAAGATCGTAGTGGTCTTTTATCCACCGAACTATGCTCAGATAGAAACTTTTTAGCGTTAATTTGATGGATATTTTTGAACTTTCGAACTTTGAATTGTTAATCTTTGCAAATTTCCAAGAAGACGAGTCTGCCGCCATTGCAGACTTGTTTGGAGAAGAAACCTGTTTTGATTTATGAGCTTATGTTTATTGCACACGGCTTTGGAATTTTCTCATCTGAAAGGTAATGGGATTGGGTTCACCAAGGTATGGCCTTTTCTGTGTTTGGTGTAACAGAAACCTTCTCCCATTTTAATTCATTTTCTACGTTTGAGAGTTTAGATTTCTGGGATTAGCCAATAAATGTTCTTTTGATCCATATTGGTTTGTTTATATTTTTTTAACAAATTGGTTTGTGGCTGGGTAAATATTAGGGAAAGTGGGAAAAAAAAAAAAAAAAAAAATTAAATTAATAAAAATATTCTCAAACTATATTAATTTTTTTTAAAATTTTAAATATGCCTTTAAACTTTAAAAAATTAAATTAATAAAAATATTTATGAATTTTTTAAAAATAATATTAAAATATTTGTAGATAGCTTATGAGATATCATATTCGTCTATGATAGATGCTTTAAAAAATTAGCAGTATTTTTAAATCATATATATATATATATATATAATTTTTCTTTTTAAGTTTTAAGAATATATTAAAGAAAAGCGTGGGAAATACGAAATTTCATTAGAAAAATGCGAACTTTCCGGTTGTCATTTAAGACTTGCTTTGCGCAGAAGTCATATACGCTGCTCATCTGTGCACTCTTTGGTCCAACCCCTTCAATAAGATAAAACCAATGGAGAGAATCCCTTTCACAGACATACCCCATTTCTCACATATTCTGAGCATCTTTTTCATTTCAGCAGTGCGATTCCGATCATCACCCAGAAATTGAGGTGAAACTCAGACAATTCTCGAAAGAAGATGTGTTGCGGAGATGGCGATTGTAGGCCGCTCGGCTTCTTGCTCGGTTTGCCGTTTGCTTTCCTTTCTCTCATCCTTTCCATCGTCGGCGTAATCATCTGGATTGTGGGGTAAATTTCTCAAAACCCCTTCAATTTTTAGCTTCTAGGGCATTTCTGATTTGGTTCGTTTCTTCTAAATCTGTTGCCCTTTCCAATTATCTGTGTTTTCTGTGCGATTTTGGGTGCAGATTGACGCTTACTTGCATATGTCCTTGTTGTTTGTGCTTGACGGTGATAGTGGAGATTGCGCTGGGGCTGATCAAAGCCCCGATTCATGTCATGGAGTGGTTCACTTCCCAGATTCCCTGTTGATCGTTCATATTTCTCTAACAGGAAAGTTGGAGAAGTCTTATAGTGTGTAATCACCTTGTTTGTGTAAAATTTGCATTTGATATGAATATGTAGCTCTGTGATTCCTATCGCTGAGTGATTCAGATGGTCTTTTTATGATTTTTTGTTCTTAGCTTCACTGAATTAGGCTTCCATTGATTGTTTATTTCATCAATAATCAATATAGAATCGAAGTTTTCTCTTACATTATTTCTGAATGCAAATTTTATTTCAAAGAAGTTGGTTCTATGATTTGTGAGGCTGTTAGGATAGAAATTCTACATGCACATATTGTAGCTTAAGGCTTCCCATCATCTCTCTCATGATCTTCCAGCCGCCAAAAGCCATCAGCATCTTGTACCATTCCTTTGTTTTGGACACACCACCATGAGGCAGGCACCAAATACTCATCCTTGAGAGCGTCCAAAGATTTGTTAACAAGTGCTATGTCCCTTTTCACTTCTAACAAAAACCCACCCTCAATTCCCTGTGTTCCTGCCACCCCATGAAGATAAGCCTCCAAAGAGTGCCAGCTCCTGAAACATCCAGGACTCTTCAAGTATTTCGATTTTAGTGTGTCGATTACCAGCTCGACTCCGACATCCACATAGCCCAACAGTGGGTATTCTGGTATTAAGTCCACCTTGTTCCGAGTTCGTAGAAGATGAAGATTATTCATGGAATTAAAGAACTTTCTGAAGTTCCAGTCTCCTACGTGTGGACTGGCAAACAAGAAGCCTGTTACAGGGAAGAGTTTCTGGGGTTGCCTTTTCCCCTTGTTTATCTGATTTGCAACAATGTCTGCTGCATTCAGTGTTCCAAGGGCAGCACCTAAACTGTGTCCTGTTATAGTTATACTGATCTCTTCATCTTGATATTCTTTTAGTAGCCTCTCAACTTCAGCTAGTACCTGATCAATTAGAAGATAGAACCACAGTTAGTGATATCAGCTATTGGTTGAATGAAAAATGTATATGAAAACATTGAAACTCGCCTGCTGTCTTGCACTGTTCGGGTTATAGGGCGATCGAGAATCCTTAGAAGTGTAAATGGAAAGCCAGCCTTTGTGAACATTAGAAGGATTAGCTGCTCCAAATAGTTCTGTGGCAGGAACAAGAGGAAAGTTGAAGTCATCAACCCATTCCCATGCTTGAATTGTTCCTCTCCAAGCAATTACAATGTCCCTTCTTCCTAATGCAGTCATTCCCTCGTCCGTTGCCACAGCAACGTACCCCATCCAATTCGACTCTTTGTTCCAAGCTTTCCCTGATAGAGACTTCAATAAAAACGCTTCCGAAACATCAATCCCTGAAGTTGCATAGAGGAATTTGGTGACCTTATACTTGTACGGGTTGGCTATAGCTAACCCAACTCTGGAGAAGAAGTCCTTCCTCGCGTAATGGCTGTCCCCAGCGAATTTTGACATCTTGTTCCAGTTGAAACCGTCATATGTTGCCTGTGCCATATCTCCGTAGTGAAGAATGTATTGTCGAAGATCGACGTCCAAAGGGTCCAAGAGGTTTTTCCAGTTATCCTGCCCACTGAGCACCCTCCATCTTTGAGCTATGTTACCTATCATTTTCTCAGAAGTACCAACTGTCTCCATTAGAAAGTGTCTTCCTGTTCTCTCTGCTGTTCTGTTCTCTTAAGCTCACAAGGTCACAAAATATGGTGGCTAAAGAACGTGTCTAGGTAGGTAACGAAAAGTTGGCCACCAAAAACGCCATGCTTTCAGATCATCACTTTCATCCGTTCATCGGCAGGTGGCTAACGTTTTAAAATTAGGTCAGTCATTAAATTTCTATGTTTTCATCTGGAACTTGCACCTGCACATGAACCTAAAACTAAAAGAAAGTCCAAGCTACTGCATAGTAGTATAGTTGACATGTAATCCGCCCACCACATTAGAGGGTGGAGTTGAGGAGATAAGCTTCACCTAAATCTTGTTCTATTTGCTGGTTTTTTAGCAGGTATTGTTCAAGTGGTTTTAGTCAACCACTCTGCTGCTACTTTCTCTAAAACTCTCAAAGATATTATGTTCTCCTTCCTTTTCTGATATCAACATAATCTCAAGCACGAAAACTATTTAAAAATAGCCATTATCAAACCCTTTGGCTTCAAATTCACATGTTTTTAGTCATCTAAAAGTGACTAACCACCAATATCTCACAAGTGCGATGCAAATTCTCAAAGGGTATTCAGGAATTTTTGACTGAAACTTGCCCACTTCTTACAAACTTGTAGTGCCTAATTATAATTACCTCGCCTTCTAGCTTCTCACTGCTAGTGAGAAGTAGAGGTATCAAGCAATGGACAACAGCTTCCCCATTAATCAGAGATGGAAGCTTTGCACATATACAAGCTTCACGAGCATTATCATCCTAGTGCTCTTGCTTGGTCAAGACCAGAAGGCCCTGAACTTTTTGACTTTTCGAAGCTCAACCTCATCGGTGACATCTTCGTTGAGTCTCGTGGACTACTATGTTGCAGCTAACACTCAGTTGCAGCCCAAAGATACTTCACTTCTCAATGAGCACGATACGCATGAGAAGAAAAGCTGCAACATCTTTGATGGCAAATGGGTCTATGATCCTGAGGTAAGTCCTCTCTATGATCACACTAAGTGTCCATTTCTTAGTGACCAAGTTAGCTGCCGAAGGAATGGCCGACAAGATTTTGGCTACGAGAAGTTTAGGTGGGAAGCCACTGGGTGCAACATTCCCAGGTGAGCTGAAACATTAGCTCTTCATCTCAATATCCCTTCTACTTCCTTTTCATTTAGATCCAATACCGAGTCATCACAGCGTTTAATCAGCCACTAACAGTGTAAACTTAATCATCTAAATCATAAACTTTGAAGGTTTAATAGCACAGATATGTTGGAGAAACTCAGAGGCAAGAGAATGATCGTAGTTGGGGACTCACTTAACAGAAACCAATGGGAATCTCTTGCTTGTCTTCTCTACTCTGCTTTACCTCCCTCTCGGGTTTATGTTGACGTACAAAGTGGCAGCTACAAGGTCTTCAGATCAAAGGCAGTTAGCTGAGCTTTTCCATGTACACCTTCTTGTACTTTCAGATGTTATAATGTGACTTTGAACTAACATTGCCTATTTATAACCTCAGGAATACAATTGTTCCGTGGAGTTTTTCTGGAGTCCGTTTCTGGTGGAACTAGAAGTCGACCGGGCTAATGGCACCAGAATATTGGAGCTCGACAAACTCTCAGCAATGTCAAAGAAGTGGTATGGTGCAGACATCATGGTTTTCAACACTGGCCATTGGTGGGTGCATCAGGGGAAGTTACAAGCGTAAGTACTCGTGATTACGATGTTACATAACGAACAGATTTCATTCATCCTGAGATGAATTTTGCAGATGGGATTACTTTCATCATGATGGTAAGATGGTAGAAACAATGGAAATGGACCTGGCACTCGAGGCAGCCATGAAAACCTGGTCGAGTTGGATTGATCAGAACGTAGATACGAACAAAACAGTAGTTTTCTTTAGAAGTATTTCGCCAGAACACAAGGGAACGCAATGGTGCTACAACGAAACCCAACCAATCTCAGATGAGTCCTACCAAGAGATATTCCCCGAGTCATTAACTGAAGTATTCAAGAGAACAATCAAGAGAATGAAAACCCCAGTGAAGTATTTGAATATAACAAAGCTATCGCAGTATCGAAGAGATGCGCATCCATCAGTTTATGCAAGAAGGCAAGGGAAACTATCAGTAGCAATGAAACAGAGAAAAGAAGAGATCATTACCGATTGCAGCCACTGGTGTTTGCCTGGTTTGCCTGATACTTGGAACAGGCTCTTGTATGCTACCATTGTATCAGCCTCCTCCTAATACTTCTTGTCTGATACTGTTCATTCTTCACTGCATCTCTTCACTAGTTTGAACTACTCATCATTCCATCAATACTTGTATTTTTGTACTTCCTGCCTTTTCATGATCATTGAAGCAACTTTCGAGTCGTTAGCAATAAGTTCTCACGGTGGCTGTTCATTTGAATGAATAGCTGCAGAAAGATCTTGATTTAGAACGGCCCAAGTTTATCTGCAATTTCATGATATTCCCAAGAGCCAACTTAACGTGTAACAACCCAAGCTCACCGCTAGCAGATATTGTCCTCTTTGGGCTTTTCGTTTCGAGCTTCTCCTCAAGGCTTATAAAATGCGTCCGCCAGGAAGAAGTTTCTAAATCCTTATAAAGAATGCTCCGTTCTCCTCCCCAACTGATGTGGGATCTCACATAACTAGTCCTCCAATTCAAAATAGAGCATAGCTTCCCTTCACATGGGGTTAGGCAAAACTGTACTAGAGTTCTTTTACTGAGTCAAAAACCTCACCTCAAAAGCATTGAGTACCTCTTCAGATTGATGAAACTGCCCTGCAGTACAAAAAAGTAACTTCTTAATGAAGCAACTGCCCCTCCAGACTGATTTAGAGGTCGTTGTGCCAAAATGCTTCTCATGCTGTTTAAATGATTCAAGCCCACAGCTTAGAACAAGTAAAACAAAACCTTTCATTATGATGTTTACTCCTACAAAAAGGCAACTTCTTGCTTGAAATCTTCAAATTGCCTTCCTTTCACAGGCTATTCCTCTCCCCTTTGTGTTTCAATGGGATCGTCAATCAAGGCAGCTAACCTTGGCTGCCAGGATACCTCGTACAAAATCAAGACCAAGAACCTTTCTTATAGACTACCTTACCCAATCAACAAATTCAATTGCGGGTTCAGCAGAGAAAGGCGAAAAGATTCATACATTTTGAAGAATGTAAACTGTGAAGCTAGGCCAGGGGAGATCGCAGCCATTGTTGGTCATAGTGGAGCTGGAAAAACAACATTGTTGGACATACTAGCAGGAATGATCCCACTTAACAAAGTCTGTGGCCATGTCCTTGTGAACGAAATGGAGATGAACGCAAAGCATTTTCGAAGAATATCTGGCTATGTCATCCAAGGGGAGGATCTTTTCCCTCTTCTTACAGTAGAAGAGACGCTCATGTTCAGCGCTCGTTTGAGGCTCTATGGTGAGATCCACAAGGTCAAAGCTCGAGTCAGGGAAATAATGAAGGAGCTCAGTCTCGAGCATGTTGCCAATGTAAGAGTTGGCAATGCATCAAGTGGAGGCATTTCAGGAGGGGAAAAGCAGGGAGTTTCAATTGGAGTTGAATTGGTTCATGACCCACCTGTTCTTTTACTCGATGAACCAACTTCGGGACTCGATTCTACCTCAGCTCTTCAAGTAGCCTTCATTCTAAAAGCCATGGCCACAAATCAAGGTAAAACCATCATTCTCACCATCCACCAACCCGGATTTCGTATTCTTGAACTCTTTGATCAAATTTTGCTGCTAGCCAAAGGAACTATCATTCACCAAGGCTCCCTTGAGCGACTCGAGCGACGTCTCAGACAATCCGGTCATTCCATTCCTCGACACGTTAACGTAGTCGAATTCGCCATGGAAATAACAGAAGCTCTTGAAGTCGACACAGAAGAAGAGAGCGAAACCGAAAACGACAAGACAACAAATACAAATCCAGGCAATCTAGAAGAACATAGCGACAACCCCATTTTCATGAACACAATAGCAAATGAAATCCTAATTCTAAGCCAGAGATTCTGCATCAATGTATTCAGAACAAAGCAACTCTTCTTTTCAAGAACAATACAAGCAATGGTAATTGGGTTTGTAATGGGAACCATTTTCACAAATGAACCAAACTCAAAGAACCTAAAATTACAAACCCAGCTAGGATTTTTCGCCTTCACTCTCGCATTCTTAATGTCAGCCTCAACAGAAGGCTTACCCATTTACTTACAGCAGAGAAGGATTCTAATGAAGGAAAGTTCAAGAGGAGCTTACAGAGTATGTTCTTACGTGATAGCAGATGCCCTCATTTTCCTGCCATTCCTCTTAACAGTGGCTCTTCTCTATGCCATTCCTGTTTACTGGTTGGTCGGATTGAAGCGGGAAATTCTAGGGTTCCTCTACTTCTCCCTCGTCTCTTGGCTCGTTGTTTTGATGGCGAATTCCGTCATCGCCTGTTTCAGCGCTCTGGTTCCTAATTTCGTCATCGGAACGTCTCTTCTTGGAACCGTTTTAGGATCTTCGTTTCTCTTTTCTGGGTATTTCATTTCGAAAGAGGAAATCCCCAAATACTGGATTTTCATGCACTACTTGAGCTTGTTCAAGTACCCATTTGAATGCTTTCTGATAAACGAGTATGGAGGAGATGGGAAGAACAGGAGATGTCTGATCAAAGCAGAGGGCGTTTGTGTTCTTTATGGCGACGAGTTCTTGAGAAATAGAGGTCTCAGGCGATCTCAGAAATGGAGCCATTTGGGTATTCTGATGAGTTTCATTGTTGGTTATAGAGTTCTTTGTTTTCTCATTCTGTGGTACAGATCTCGGACGGCCACAAAGTGATGAAGCTTTCAAATGGATTCAAACCCTCACGAATTGGTGAAACAAAGTTCATCATATGAACAAATCTGCCTCCATTATCTTTTATCTTTCCGGATTGATACAAAATCATCTGCTTTCGGTAATATTTAGATTTTTTGTTCAACAATTCTAGTATGGAGTGCTTCGATTCTTAAGCTAATGTCGAATGGAATTGGGTGAGTTAAGTATAATAAGATCTGTATACATTTTTAGGTAATGATATCTCTTTTTTTTATTTTATTGCTCTAACTTTCATGGTTTTCCGAGAACCTCTATTATGTGAGATTCCATTCTGGTTGAAGAGCAGAACAGAGTATAAGAGTTTGGAACCTCTAGTCATCAGACGAAATGCAACGGGTCAAGATATTAGTTATAGGCTTAAATTATTACAAATGATATAGAACTAGGAGTTAAACACGAGGCTCTCCCTGCGAAAATGGTAGAACTTCAATGGAAGTGAATTATAGGAACCGAGGATGGTAAGAGCTATAAGATAAGTCCGTAATAAGTCAATAATGCTAATATTATTTTGATATTTAATAAATATTTCAAAATTATTAATATAATATTTTTTAACTAAATATTTAAAAATAAAAAAATTAACGAATAAACATTTTATTATAATAAAAAATTTGAAACTTCATAACATTTTAATTTTTCTTTTTCTATTTTGAATATCTGACAAGTCATAAATTATATATTTTTTATTATATGTATATTTAAATATAATTAAGTCCTTGGGTTAAATAGATTTTATATTACTATTAATTTTTTTAAAATTATTATAAGACTATTTATTTATATATTTATTTAAAAGTTTTGTCAAACTATTGAGACGGGCTTTCCTCCCTACTTTAGCCTCTCATTCGTGCATTGGAAAACAGATGTCACGCGAAAACCAAGGGAATCAATTTTGTAAGACTTCTCGAAAAAGATAAAAAAGTAATAATTAAAAAAACTTTCCCTTTTAAATTTCTATCCATATATAAATATTTTACTACCTCATTTTTTCTTAATAAATATTAAATATTTTTATAACAATATTAAAAGTGGACGTGACTTATTTGGGTTAGTCAAATGGCAAATTTTCGGTTTCTAAAAAATTAAACTAACCTAAAAGAAAAAACCCAACTTGACCGAGCCCTTGTAGTATGAGTAGGATAGTTCGAACACTTCCATCCTTCATGCCTTGTTTACAATGCTAGGGCTTGCCTCATCGTTTCCTTTTATCAATACCAAATTAGTTCGTGTCCTGATTCCATCTTCCACCCAGATACATGACAAATATATATCCTAGCACCAGCTTTACCGGGGATGGTGATTTGTTGGCATTGGTCATTCTTGATCGAGAAGTTTCGAAACCGATACCGTATTGGCTCCTACATTTTTTTAGCTCATAATTTATTGGGTAATTATATTTCTCTTGTATTATTATTGTTTGTAACTTTTTGGATTTAGGAAGAAAAATAAAATAGACGTGGTAGGTGGATATCAATTCTGTGTACGCGAGGCTTAGAATGCACCAGCCTTTGGTACCCTATATTAAACCGTGCAACCTCTGCTTTCTTTATCATCCCCCACATTTGCTGACTCTACTCATCAATGGCCGCCGCCACATATTTCTCTCCCTCTATCTCAGCCTCATTATCAAAAACCCTAAAACAAGCTGCTTCTCTACATCCCCTTACTCCTTCCAGCTTAGGATTCTTGTCCTCCTCCTCCGCTTCCTCGGGATTCTTCGCTCTTAAGGCTGTTGGTATGGGTGGTGCTAATGCTGTCGGCTCAGCTCTTGGTGCTCGCATGGTGTCTGCACCTGCGATCAAGCCCTTAATCTCGCTTGATTTTGACACATCTGTGTTCAAGAAGGAGAAAGTTAATCTCGCTGGCCATGATGAGGTTTTTACTCTGTTACTTGTACCCTTGTGTATTGATAGGTTCTCTGGTTTTGGATTTGGATTTCGGGGAAGTGAGCTGTGAGTGTGGATTGTGGAAGGGAAATGGATTCGTGTGCATCCATTTCTTGAGATCTGCATGTCTTTTTTTTTTCTTTTTTTTTTTATTCTCTGCATGTCTTCGCTTTGTGGAAGCGAAATGTTTCTGTATTGGAAATGGGAATTTAATTGTTTCATTTCCGTTTGTGTGCCTTCGGATTGCAGTATATTGTCAGAGGAGGCAGGGACCTTTTTCCCCTGCTGCCGGAAGCGTTCAAGGGGATCAAGAAAATTGGTGTCATTGGTTGGGGTTCACAGGTAATGTTATATCACGATCTGCAATCTTATATTTGTCATGTTTTGTTGCAGAATCAGCCTGCAATCTTATATTTCACATGGGATTTGATTTTTATGTTCATAATAATAGAAGAAAATGATGTGGCATTTTACAAAATCAAGGATAAATGGGTAAAAATATTACAACATTCAACCTCCATTCAAGGATTTTCTTTTTTCACTTATCAGCATCTGATTGATATGAACAAAAAAAGAAA